ATATTTGCAGGTTCCAGGAATTAGGACGTGGACATCTTTAGGGGGCCATCACCACAGGGATCAAGTATTTAGTGAACACTAAGTGCCAGGAGTTGAGCTGACAATGGACAACCTGGAAGGCAGCTTGATGTCCATGTGTCCCGATTGATCTAATCATCCCCACTCACCACTGTTCCCAAACTTATTCCTCTTCATGGATTATTGTTCTAAGTCGTACAAAATAATGGTACAAGGTCACTTCCAAAATACTGACACTGATGAAGCTGAGATGAGGAACAGTCCCAGCACCACAGCGATCCCTGCATTGTCCTTTTAATTCATTTACTTTAAGAAATTGTGGTAAGATACACACAGCATAACATCTATATACTCATAATCCATCTTTTCTCTTGTTGATGGAAAATTAGATGGCTTCTAATTTTTTTCTGCTGTAAACAATATGGGAATGAACAGTCCCAGACATATTTCCTTGGAGACATGAGCAGCAGTTCTGTACTCAAGAAGGGCATGCCTGGGTCACAGATCCTGAGAATGTTCAACTTTGCTAGATCTTGTCAAGTTTCTATCCAAGGAAGATGCCACCAGTTTATTCTCCCACCAGCAGTCTGAGAGTTCCTTTCTCTCCACACTGAAGAATCCGATTTTTGTTCTGAAAAGATCACTCTGGTCAGAAAGCACAAAGTGAGTTGGGTGGGGGTTTGGGGGGGGGGTGGTGGGTGGTGCAACAGAGGCCCAGGCATCTCGGGGCCAAGAGCCAGGTCAGCCAAGTTTAAGTTTCCTCAGCTAAAAAACTTGTCATGGACAACTTTCTGCAGAAGATGCTCCGCTGCCTGTTCTCATTGTCCCTTGCATCGTTGGGCTGGCAAGAATGGGATGATGCACTGCTCAAGTGTTATCAATCAAATGGCAAATTGTGTGGGCCACCAAACTTCTATTCTTTGTAGAAAATTATTATTTATTTTTTATTGAACAAAACTCAAGGCCGAGAGGGTGCTCCGTTGTGCCCTTCTGTGGTAGGCGTGTTTTCTCTGTTTTGGCTCGGCCCCGGGCTGTTTGTTATGCGTGCGTTGTATTGCAAATGTGGAGCAAATGAAGCCCAAATATGAAATTAATACTGTGATCTGTTTTTCTCTTTTGTTGTCATAACAATCGGTGGCTCTTGAAGCAAAGAGAAAGTTAGAATCGTATGAAAGGTGTTTACACCATGTATACTCCATCCTGCGTTATTATTTATTGCTATAGTAAGTGTATTTAACATTAGCTTAGGGAGGGTTAACTGCTACTGGTTTTTGCCTGATGGTTTTTCTGCTCACCCTTCCAACCTGGTTTTGCTTTTGACCTTGACTTTTCCTATAGTTCTGAGCAGGAAGAAAGAGGGAGTTTGGGTCAGATGCCTAATGACGTCATGACTCCTTATGTTTAAGCATATGACGCCATATGTCAAGCGTCCTTCGCTTTTCTCCCCAGTCCTGAGAGCAATGTTAAGTCAGGAGTCTTGGTTAGAAACAAAGCAGGACCTGGAGTGCATTTTCCTCCTTTCTTTGCCCCATTCCTATCCTCTACACCTGAATAGGAGGCCCATCTCTCCAGGAGCAGAGATGAAGAGAAACTGAGGAAAGGAGACCTGGAGGAATTTATGCCTTGCAGAAGTGTGGGAATCAATATGACAAATAGAGAATCGGGATGCTGGTCCCCTAAGGTCATTCTCTATTTTACTCTATTCCCAAGGTTAAATACTCAGCTGCTGAGAGCCTTCTCTGGCTGAGGTCCTTACCACTCCAACCGTCACAGGCTACAATCTGCTGGGTCACAGGGCGGCCGACATAGTGAAGCTGATATGGTGGGAAACCCCTCTCCCCCACAAACTAAATAAACTTACCCACTTGGAGGCCCACTTGGGGACTATCTGGTGTTGTAAGCTCTTTGAAGGCAGGTGCTGACCTCCTTTTATCAGCCTACAATTCCTAAAAAAACATAGGGCACACACGAGAAACTCTGGAACTTCATCTGTTGCTTGTTTGGGTCATCGTAACGTATCTTAAGAATATGCTAGTAGTGCGGGAAGATTGTTTAAAAATGTACAGCTCTTGGTGAGTGGTGCCCATTTTAGAGATGATAGAATGAAAGGGGATATTTCTTTCTTTTTTTTTTTTTTTAAGATTTTATTTATTTATTTGACAGAGAAAGACACAGCGAGAGAGGGAACACAAGCAGGGGGAGTGGGAGAGGGAGAAGCAGACTCCCTGCCGAGCGGGGAGCCCGATGAGGGACTCGATCCCGGGACTCCAGGATCATGACCTGAGCCGAAGGCAGTCGCTTAACCAACTGAGCCACCCAGGCGCCCGAAAGGGGATATTTCTCACCCTTCTTAGAAGAGTCAGTCCTTCAGAGGATCTTTGTCTGTTTTCTTCTTCGTTGGGGTAGAACATGGGCAGAGGGGGCCACATGGCAACCCCCCACCTAGGCACTGTGCAGGAAAATCAGCGCCATTGAGGCCCTAGCTGATGACAGATTTAAAAAAATGTCCTATTGTTGTCCTTTACTGCCCAGGGGACCTTGAATTAGGCCTAAAGCCCAGGGCAGAATGAAGGCCCTTTCTTGGGTGAATCTCTTTTTGAGCACAATAGACGCAAACTTAGAACGGGCCTTGGTTATGTCAGAGATACAGGCAAAAAAGAGCCCATTAGTTCTAAGAAAAATCAACCTTTCTCTGAAGGCTAAAGTTATTTTCCATCTCAGATTCTTGTATTCGGGTGTGAACACGCGCGCGCACACACACACACACTCTTAAAAAGAAAGGATAAAGAGAACGAAAATGGGTTTGGAGGTCCAGGTTAGCGCGTGAGTGGTCACAGTATTATTACGCAGGAGGCAGATGCTTGTGACTATGGCAACTTCACTCCAGAGGGAGAAGTGTGAAATGGAAGGAATATTAATCAGGTCGGGGGAGGGAAGATGCTTAGGGAAGGGATGGGAGTGGCAGGCGGGTCCAAGACGGTTGGGTAAGGCTGGGTCTGGTGCACCTTTGGGAAAAGCTGTCATGCACTTTAGATCTCCCTTGTTTGCTCTGGGCCCCACTTTTCTGCCTGGATGCCATCCCAAGTCTAGGGCAGAGACCCCTCTAGAACGTGGGCTAAAGACAAACATGAAGCAAGGTGCAGTCGTTCCCAAACATGGCCTTTTTGCTTTTATGACTAAGCTGATGGAAATATTCCATTGTAGTCATATTTTCCCTCACTCAGTCATCTGTCCCTCAGATCTAGTCCGTGTGTGGCCGAAGCCAGCACTGTCTCAGTGGACCTAAATTGCTTAGAAACTGTCACATCCACCACCTCAGTTCCGTCACCAATTCTGCCTAGAAGAGTTCCTATCACGGTGTGTTTATTTTCATGCCAGATCCTTCACTGAGGTGTAGAGATGTGAAGTAACTTGTCCAGGTTCACATAAAGAGTGAATACCTCCCTTCAGAGCCCTTTGCCATTCTGCTTGTTTAAACAAGTCCCAGTGTGTCTGTGTGTGACGAGGGACCACTGGAGCTTTGCTGAATTTTCTTTGGTTGAATTCCCTTGTGTCTACATGGTCTGAATGTCAGTGACTAAAACAGAGTTACAAGACAGCAGCTTGTGGTAACTGCTCTTACAGAAATGTGTACTTCCTACCTTACACAATATAGGACAGTTTCATGTGTTCCAAATCAATTCCTGACAGTACCCAGCTCTGTGGATCGTGCAGATAAAATGCCCCTGTTATGCTTCCTTTAAAAACACTTAGGAAATGTGTGCATTTTTATTTGTGTGGCAAGATGATATTGTGAAATATTAACATAATCTCCCATCTCGCAAGGACACACATATTTTGCCCTTGGCACTTATCCTGCTTGAGGGTATCGGAAAACAGGCCTCTGCTTTTCCAGAGTGGCGTTGGCCAGACTTAAAGAATAAATATGCAGGGTGCTCAGTTCAACCTGAATCAGATCAATGACATAGAATTTTTAGCATAATTATATCCTCTGCAGTTTTGGGGACGTATACTAAAAAATTGTCATTTACCTGAAATTCAAATGCAACTGGGTGACTCGGATTTTCTCTGGCAAGCCTACTCCAAAGGAAGGCGAAATCAAAGAACCAGAGTAACAAAGGCTTGGCTTTTAAGTTTAAAAACTGTGGGTTAGCGTAAAATAAAAATACTAGGAAGACTACTTGCTGAGTGGTTTTACTTTTCTGCATGAGAAGAAAAGAACTCGGGCGTGGGGAAGGGGCAGAGGCTGGGGCCAGAAAAGAAAGAGGCAGGGGTGAGCGTAGCTGTTCCCCAGGCTTCTCTTCACCCTGCACAGAGCAATACATTCCCCATCTACCCTGGGGGACCGTGGAGCAGCCCGGCCAGGGAACGGGGATGTAGGCGTGGCTTATGGCAGCCCCGCCCCTGTCCCAGAGTGCAGTGCGCAAGGAACTTCCCAGGGTTCCCTGCGGCTCCACAGGTCGGTCCGGCCTTTTCGGAGGCAGAAGTGGTGTCCCGGCATGGCGTTAGCAGGTACGTGGGGCCGTCCCTCCCCTGTGCCGCGTGGGAGCGTGTCCTTCTGCCCCCCAGTATATCAGCGCGCTGTTCGTTGCCTCTGACAGCTGGCTGCGCTCTGGTAGCCGCCCTAGCCGCCAGGGCACGTCCAGTGGGCGGTGGGAATGAACCACACTTGCCCTCCCGGGCCAGGCAGGTAGCACCTGTGTGCTGCGGTGGTTATCAGGGAAACCACGGAGCAAAACCTGTGCTGTTTTACGGGCTGCGTGGTCTTAGACAAACACCTGACACTCGGCTGGCTTACCTGCAATACGGCGGCAGTAATGCCCCTTCATGGGGGCATTGTGAGGATTAAATGAGATGATGTATATAGCGCCAGTATAGTGCAATGCCTGGCACGTAGCCGGGGTGCCGAAGGTCCCTTTCGTTGGGTAGAAGCAGTTTGTCTTTGGGCAACCCCCTGACCGCACCCTCTCTCCTCCTTTCAGGCTCTTGAAGCCGTGTATCCTGTCCTTTTAAAATCACCTCTCAGCGAAGGGCCGTTCAAGTTTCCAGGTGAGAAAACATTGTTGTTTAACGTCTTCAGGATAATTGACTTTTTGCCTTTTATCTAATTGTGGAATGCAAGGCTTCGGTTTCTGAGTGAAGCTTGTTAAGGGAGGGATTTTTGGAGCAGGGAGCCCTTCCTTGCTGTGGAAATCACAGTAAATGGCGGGAGCAGCCTGAGAGGAGCAGGGTGTCAAAATGCTAGGCCCCGGGGCTGGGCACTGGTCCTGGCAAACAGTGATGCTCTTGTGTGTCCAGCAGTTGGCCGGGAGATGCCTGGCGGCAAAACTGCAAACTGTTACCCTGTGACTTTCAGGGTCACACTGCAAGCAGATGTCTATTCTTGGTTGGGGCAATTAGCCTGAAAGTGGAAAGTCAGCAGGAAGAGAACAAGACCTTCACATAGGGAGGGACATGACTGATGGACATTTGGTTCAGTTTTCAGCTGCAAGGGAGGGAAGGCGGCTAATTAGAGGAGGTAATACTACCTGGGGATTTCAGCTGATCCAGGTGGAGTAGAAGGAGTCATTGCTCCTCGTAGGAAATTTTGTTGTGGTGGTTTTGAGGCAGTCACTTTGACATGGGCATGGCAAGAAGAAAAAAAAAAGTATTCTTTATTACCAGGTAGTGTGCATATTCAGACATTCTGACCCTTAACGCATCCTGAACTTCATTCTTACTCCTGAGGGAAGCTCAGGGGTGCACTTAAGCCACGAATGGGATAAGGATGTGAAGGGCATCAGGGATAGGGTGAGGGTTTTTGAGCAAAATAAAGATTGAAAATGAAAATGTATAATAGGCTTATAAATTTAGCTATGAAAGATGTTCCTGTGTCAAGTAGCCATTTCAGACATAGTTTCACGGATGAATGTGGAACTTGGCAGTCCTCTGGCCAGCGTGGGAGAGGGAGAAGCGACTAAAACCTTCCTACCTGATAGAAATCCCAGGCTTCTGTCATCAAGTGGGGAAAGGAGGAAGGCTGAGGGAACAAATGGGATTTTGAATGGAATGGAACCTCGTGGTGAAACAGCCTGGCTTTCCCAGAGTCCCCACACAGACCTCCTTTTGGGAAGGGGAGAGAGAAAACCCCATCCTGCATCTTAGTATAGGCCCTTTTCCCTCCTGTTGACACCTTCGAAGGGTGAGCCCAACCATTCCTGTAACTAACTCTACCCATTACTCAAGTCTCCCAGAGCTGTTTCTGTCCCCCACCTCCTGAGATCAAGTCCAGGAGAGATTTGAACCTGACATGAACGCATTTAATTACCCAAGTCCCCTCCCAGAATATGCTCCTACTCCTCTTGTATCTATCTCAAGGATATTTGCTACCATCTTTTCCCCCCCTTCTTGTCATGCTTAAACTTCCTGTAAATGTCACACTTGATATTTTGCTATGTTTGAAGTACCTTTAAACCTGTTTTCCTTTTCTCTCATGTTGACTGCTCCTTTCTTCTCTGTTTAGCTAAACTATTACAATATCCTTGAGCCTAGTTTTTTTTTTTAAAGATTTATTTATTTGTTTGTGAGAGCACATGCTCAAGTGGGGAGAGGGGCAGAGGGAGAGAGAACCCCAAGCAGAGTCTGCGCTGAGCATAGCACCCGATGTGGGGCTTGATCCCATGACCCTGAGATCACGACCTGAGCTGAAACCAAGAGTTGGTCACTGACGTACTGTGTCACCCAGGTGCCACTAATTGTGTCGTAATTACACATCTCTGTCCAACTAGTCTGTAATCTTCTCTTAGACAGGAGCCCCCAGAACACTTAACGGCTTAGTTTCTCTACCAGTGTTTCCCAAAGTGTGTCTTAGAACACTGGTTCTGCTGGATGTTAATCAACACTTATAAACCTGCTCATGGCATTATAAGTACTTTGCTTGTAGGTAGGTATTGTTATTACCAAATCCATTTTGTCGATGAAGAAAATACTAGCTACTAAATGGCAGAGCCATCCAGAGTTCAAACACAGGTAATACTATCTTCTCCATCAGGCTACAGGTATATTGCCTCTCAGGTTAATAGGAATTATGTGATACAGAGTTTCAAGAATGAATGCCCAATTTAATAAACACTGGATTAAACTAAGTTAAATAGGCGGATCTTTGCTGCAGGGTACGAGACTTCTCAGAGCTTTTTGTATGTTAATGCACACTGTGAATTTCCAAAGGAAGGATGGAATCAACAGCATTCCTTACACGTTCTTGGCTACCAAACCTTATTTTTTCCCCCATAGATTATCTTGGACGTCAATGTCTGTGGAATATAATTTGGAAAATATTACTTTAAATCAGTGTTTCCAAATTCATACCACATTATAATTAATAAATTATCCAAATTTTAAACTGGACAGTTGTATATGTGTATATTATATATTTATCACATTCTCCCCTACCCTGCCCTCAGTTTTATTGAGATATAATTGACATGTATCCTTTACAAGTGTGCAGCATCATGGTTTGACTTACATTTATTGTGAAATGACCACAATAGGTTTAGTTAGCATCCATCATCTCATTTAGATATAATAAAAAGAAAAAGCTAAAAAAAAAAAAGCTAAAAAAAGAAAAAAATCTTTTTCTTTGTGATGAGAACTCAGGATTTACTCTTTTAAAAACTTTCCTATGTATTATACAGCAGTGTTAGCTCTAGTCATCATGTTGTACATTACATCCCTAGTACTTATTTGTCTTATAACTGGAAGTTTGTATCTTTTGACCATCCTCCTCCAATTCCCCTAGTTCCTGTCCCCAACCCTCCCACCTTCTCTTTTTCTGTCCCTTTGGGGTTTTTCTTTTTTCTTTTTTTTGATTCTACGCATAAGTGAGATCATATAGTATTTGACTATCTGTCTGACTTATTTCACTTAGCATAATGTCCTCAAGGTCCATCCATGTTGTCACAAAAGACAGGATTTTCTAGTATTTTTTTATGGTGAATAATATTCCATTATATATATGTACACCACAACTTCCTTATCCATTCATCCATCTGTGGATGCTTAGGTTATTTCCATGTCTTGCCTCTTATTTATAAATAATGCTGCTGTGAACCTAAGTAAGGATGCAGCTGTCTTTTTGAGTGTTCCTTTTCTTTTTTCTTTCTTCTTCTTTTTTTTTAAAGATTTTATTTATTTGAGAGAGAGAACGAGAGAGAGAGAGCATGAGAGGGAGGAGGGTCAGAGGGAGAAGCAGACTCCCTGCTGAGCAGGGAGCCCGATGCGGGACTCGATCCCGGGACTCCAGGATCATGACCTGAGCTGAAGGCAGTCGCTTAACCAACTGAGCCACCCAGGCACCCTTGAGTGTTCCTTTTCTTTGTATATACAGTTGACCCTTGAACAATGCAGGGGTTGGGGGTGCCAGACCCTCCCCCCACAGTAAAAAGTCTGTGTATAAGTTTTGACTCCCCCAAAACTTAACTACTGATAGTCTCCTGCTGACTGGAAGCCTTACTGATAACATAAACAGTTGCTTAATATATATTTTGCATGTTATGTGTATTATCTACTGTATTTTTACAATAAAGTAAGCTAGAGAGAAGAAAATGTTAAAATCATAAGAGAAAATACATTTACAGTACTGTACATATATTTACTGAAACAAATCTACATATAAATGGACTCACATAGTTCACACCCATGTTGTTCAAGAGGCATCTGCATTCCCAGAGGTGGAATTGCTGGATCAAAGAGTAGTTCAGTTTTTAATTTTTTGAGGATTCTCCAAACTGTTTTGCATAGTGACTGTACTAGTTTTTAATCCCAGGTGCACTGCACAAGAGTTCCCTTTGCTCCACATCCCTAGTATCTGTTGACATTCAAACAGGTGTGAGGTGATATCATGGTTTTGATTTGCATTTCCCTGATGATAGTGATGTTGAGCATCTTTTCATGTACCTGTTGGCTGTTTGTATATTGCCTTTGGAAAAATGTCTATTCTGTTGCTCACTTTTTTTTAAATAATTGAAGTATAGTTGAAATATAATACTAGTTCCAGGTGTACAACATAATGATTCAACATTTACAAACATTATGAAATGCTTGCCACATTAAGTGTAGTTACTGTCTGTCACCAGAAGAAGTTATTACAATATTATTGAATATATATATATACACCTTATGCTGTACTTTTAAGCCCCATGACATACTTACTTTATAACTGGAAGTTTGTACCTGTTAATCCCCTTCCCCTGTTTTGCCTATCCTCCCACCCTCTCCCCTCTGGCAACCACCAATTTGTTCAATGTATTTATGACTCTGTTTTTATATTTTTGTGGTTGGTTCGTTGTTTTGTTCTTTAGATTCCACATAAAAAAGTGAAATCATTTGGTATTTGTCTGATTTATTTCACTTAGTCTAGTACCCTCTAATTCTATGTTGTCATAAATGGCAAGATTTCATTTTTTTTTTTATGGCTAGGTGATATTCCATTGTATATGTATATACCACATCTTCCTTATCCATTCATCCAGTCGTGGTCACTTGGGTTGTTTCCATATCTTGGCTATTGTAAAGAATGCTGTAGTAAACATAGGGGTGCATATATCTTTCGAATTAGTGTTTACGTTTTCTTTGGGTAAATACACAGAAGTGGAATTACTGGATCCTGTGGTATTTCTATTTTTAATTTTTTGAGGAACTTCTATACTGTTTTCTCACAGTGATTGCACCAGTATGAGTTCCCACCAATAGTGCACACGGGTTCTCTGCTTCACATCCTCACCAACACTTTCTTATCTTTTTGATACTACTCATTCTTACTGGTAGGAGATACCTCATTGTGGTTTTGATTTGTATTTCCATAATGATGAGTGATGTTGAGTATCTTTTCATGCGTCTGTTGGCCATCTGTATGTCTTCTTTGGAAGAATGTCTCTTCAGGTCTTTGGCCCATTTTGCAGATTTTTTTTTTTTTTTTGGTTTATTTTTTTGGCCTTGAGTTTTATAAGTTTTTGTATATTTTGAATATTAACCCCTTGTTGAATATATCATTTACAGATACCTTCTCCCAT